CTCGGTGTGTGCAAACTGCTAGCCCTGCATATTCCCTTCCCCGATGAACTAACACTGCTTCTTGTAGGTGTGCAAAACCGCGAGGTTGGAGCAACATCGACGAAAAAACGCGCAATGTCACGGTCTAGTACACACCCTGTGTCCGAAACTGAACTTGCCGATCGCAACCAGAGGTTGAAGAGGGGGCGGGTAGTTGGACGGGTATGTCGGACAGAAACTGGCTGAGGGGTGGAGGGTGCCCAGATGGACTAAAAGGATGACGAGGCCGAGGTGGTTGTGTAGATACTAGAGACCGGAAGACGGGCTGAAAGGGGAGAAGACGAAGTCCGCGGGACGAACGAAGAATGCGGCGTAGGAGGATGTAACTGCCGGCCAACCCGTGAGACACACGAGCAGGTGCCCAGGGATCTTGCTAATAGGGCACGGATAAACCTCGCCAGGGAGGGTGGAAAACTGACTTGGCGGGAGGAATCGTTTAGATAGTATGGTTAGAGATAATTCACCTCACGCTGCCTCCCAGGACAAACATCCGCTCTCAGTGTCTTGAACTCGTGCGACGTACGAAACCGACACAGCTGCCGTCGCGCCCACCGCCCACGAAATTTTGTAGATATCACCAACCTGACGAGCACAGTTTCTCACACTCTTGTGCGAGTGATGTTTTATGCAAACCCATCAGCTAATCGGAACGTCGGAACGTCGTTTTGCCCGCGAGTGATACCGCGCACGGAAGCCCATCCTCGTGGGCGAGTAGGGTTGCGAGTAAGGCTAAGGGATGCCATAATGGACAAATATCACCTTGCAAGAGAACCTACCTACTCGTTCGCACCACCGAAACCCGTGAGTTACAGCCGTAGTTGGCATGTTCGCTGCGCACGGCCCAGGGAGTAGACGCCACTGCGCAGATTCGACACTTTTCGCAGTCACGAATGATTGAGGACGCAATGGTGACGAGAAACTAACGCGCGATAGAACTAGACCTGGCGTAGCACGCTTCACCGGATTGCCTTACTATCGCGTGATATCCCTCATATGCGCGATGCAGGGGAGGTCGCGAAGGGGGCGGTTGATGCAGGCCGGGATACGGGGAGGGATGAGGATGAGCTTTTATTGCAAAAAAGCGATATCTTCTGAAATTGTGATTACCCAACAGAGTAAACGGGCCGGACCGAGCGCTTCATCTGCTATGTGCCCCGCTTGTAGGCTGTACGACGCTCCTTCGATTGGCTTTCCAGTTTCTTACAACTCTCGCCAATATTCTTCTAGAAGCATCGTGTTTCGGGCTTCCCACATGCTGCTTTTGTTGAATAGATGCCTATGATTGCACGGGAGTCTCTTTGGTGCAGCCACCAGCCGCCAAACTCAGTTGTGAAGCTTCTCCCACAGAAACACACCCGAAGCCTCGTTGTTCAATTAGCCGTAAAATTGTCATCCTGTCGGTATTCGTAGACAGCGGCGATGGTAACAATTTTCTTCCGTCAGAGATGACTACCGCTTGTGCTGGCCTTCCTTTCCACCAAACATCTCCTCACTACAGGGGTGTTTTAGGTGTTCTCTGCGATTCGGATGATATTCCCAAACATTCTTAGTACATAGTGGACTGCAGTGCACTGCCGGCGGATCGACCAGTTCACTTCACTATAACAGCGGACGGATCTGACCGTGGGAAATACTCCTATGAGATGGGAACCACTGAGGTCAACCCAGAATACGAGCTGTGGCAGTACGGCAGATGTACGTCATGTATTACGCGCTGCCGCTCACCCACAAAACCTCCAAATAGCGAGCTGCGGGCTCATCAGCACGCGTTTCGAGCCGTGACTGCCATCAGTGACTGCGGTGCCGCGTCGACGATCTCAACCGAGCGCAGCGTGTCAAAACTACCGACCACGCGGCATACTCCGAACACGAGTTCGACTGGGGGGTACAAATCGTATTGGTGGCGATTCTTCCTGTGTACAGATGACAGGTACCGGACGGGGCATCTGGTAGTCCTCCATTCAGTCCGGTCAGCCACATTACCAAAAAAGGGACGGTGCTACTATTCACGTATTCCAGATTCAGCGAGATGGAATAGGGCCTGATACGATATTTTATTAAACGAAATGTGCTGCCCAAAAATTCACTTGATAACCCGCTCCCTTTTTCTGCCAACTCCTCCAGCCACCTACAGAGAAAGCTACACGCGGGAACGACTACTCACACGGCCGGAAAGACTTATCCTCCCCCTGTTAGATTTGTGGCTGTGGTTGGCTCACCGTAGTAATTGAACATCCTCAGCCACAGATCTAACAGGGGTGTGGTAAGTCTTTCCGGCTATGTGAGTAGATGTCCCAGGAAGACCGACATTTCCGATAATTCCCCCGGAAGCCAGTTGAATGTGTTCGCAGCAGATAAATGTCGATTCCACCCCGCAGTCCAAGTCGCTATCATTTCAGTTATGGTCATCAGTCGGACTTTCTGCGTGCAGGCTCGGAACTTTCCACAAGTAAGCTTCTATTGGCTGGGGAGCCCTTGTCACCGCATGCGCCACGATGCATCAACTGCAGCTAATTAGCGTCTTCAGCGAATAACTGCGAGTGATTGAAGCCACAAACTGTTTTGAGTCTTGACGCAGGTTCTATTTTGGGGATACGGCTGCCTGGGGATCTGGATTTTGCTGGCCTTCTGTGTGCAAAGTTGGTGTTCGTGGCGAGCACCCCGAATTGCAGGATTTGGGGCTTGCCAATTTACCTATCCTTGAGCAGGTGCCAAGTACCTATTCGATGGAAAATTGCTTTTTTGTTTTCGTTTGATCATGCTCAACGATGGCAGGTTACTTTTGGATGTCGCAGGAGTGCTTTGAATACACTCACTAGTATATAAAAATCTGAGCGCTTCAACTGGCTGGTAGAAGGCGAGAACAGTTAGCTACCTAGTACTTCCCCGGACAGAAGTCAGACCGAATCCTGCACGGTGATGCGTCGGACGCTGGAGGCAGACTTTAATGAAACTACTACCAGTAACGACGTCGCGTCGAAAACGACGAAAATAGGCAGTAGACTGGGTCTGGCTGGCGTTGACTTCCCCGCAATGTACGCTGTACAGCCCCGGCGATGTTGAAGCCAGTCAACCACATCCCACAAATAGTGGCTTACGTCGTGTCGTCTCATACCTATCATCATCTGGTGTTTCTACAATTCCTTTCTCCAAGATTACCGGCGCCGCGGGAGAGGATACTACCTGCTCATTCAGATTCCAACTACACCATCTACAAAAACCGCACACCGTTGCCTCCAGCTCCGTCTACAAACCTCGCACTATCTGTATTTTGTTATCGCAAGTCCACCCCAGATCTTTGACTTCCACCGTGCCTCGCACTCCCGGCAGGTTACCGCCTTTTACCCTGCCCCTAGCTGTCGTCTCGGGTCCGAAGGTTAGATTATTCCAAGCTTTATCTTTTGAGGAACTTGGGATCGTCGAACTAATAAAGATCCAGGAAAATCTCGAGCCCCACGTTCGTTGCGTTGGACTCGAGCACTTTCACCTCTATTGCCTGTTACCGTTATGTCTATTCACGGTAAAGATTCGACTGGCCTCGTCGGTTACAAGCTCGGGATTCAAGTCGGCTTATCGCCCCAGACAGAAAGCTCCGCTGGCAGGCGATACGGAGGCGATTCGGTACACTGCAGCCGCTTCTCCTGGTATTCAGCGTCTTGGGTATGGTTCTCGCGTTGATTTCCGTCGATGACAATCCCGACTACCTTGGAGCGAGAGTGCTATACAACTAATGGACCGGATCTGTCATCGCCGTCTGCAGTGCCATGATGCGAACCTGTATGGCCGTCCAGTCGGGAATCTGCGGCCTGATTATGGCGACTCTGGCTTTCGAGAAGGACTGTGTCCTCCTATGCGATGCCGCATCGATGTCCATCTGTCGCTATGCGACCTGTTAGCCATGGGTCATGGCTCCTCCTATCCTACGCGGTGCCAGAGTGAGCACGAGCTTCAGCATCATCTTCTTGGTGGTGTTGTTGACCATTACCGTGGTTCTTTCGCAGCTCCTATCGGCCTTTCTTTTTAACCTCGATCAAGATTACATCCGGGGACCCCGATCGACCAGATCATATTCGCGGGCGGGCAAGATACCGATAGTGGTGGCGAACGAACACTTCCGAAATCGTCCGAAAATCTTTCCACGCTTCGCCGAGCGGACGGGTCGCTTGATATCCATCACCGAAACCTCCACGGGAAGGCAGTTGCGCGACACCGGGGCAACCCTGAGGGCGTATCCTGATGTCCGGAACGCGTTGGATAGGTCTTCACTCCTGTATTACCGCGGCCTTGGGGGACTGATGGAGGCACACGTCCTCTGCGTTTCGCCGGAGGTCGATAATATGACTTACATCACGCCGGGCCGGGTGATTGAAAGACTCAGTTCCGACTTCCTATACAGGTAAATGGGCCAATTGGAAGCCGAAGGCTCGTTCAGGTGGGATCCTGCACGGCCATCCTCAGATTTGGTCTTTGATTTCAACTGCACGCTTAGCGACATGCTCAGGACCGTTCTCTGTCCACTGAAACCCCCAGCAGCGGACGACTGTCCGGGTTTTCCGACGCAACGTCTGCTGGCACCCACGAACGCGTGGTTCCTTTACATGTGGGAGTACGCGACTACGTGGGAAAGCGGAGGAAACTATCTACGCCCCAGCGACGAACAGCTTATGTGCCGACTCTACAATAAGGATGGCTATCGTTTCTCCGGGACGCAGTGGACGACGATTACCGACACGACAATGTTTGCGGAGACATTCATAGCACGCAGCAACAGGATGTCACTATGCGTCGCAGCGTCTGGGAATTCCATGGCAATTATCGAATCCGAAGCTGACTGGAGAGCCGACGAGCCAGTATAAGTGAGCAGACAGAGTGCGGGATCCATGAAGACAGTTTTGTCGCAGCTCGTGGACGGCCCGGACTTGGCCCACCGAGCGGTCATGAACCTCACGGACTACCGTATAGATGGTTAAGAAGCGTTCTCCAATGCCATCATGTACATCCGCGGTGGACTCCAAGGCGTTTCCGGCCGCAACGAATCTACCATCACCTACGACGCTTGGTTGAAGACGGAACTGATGGACAACTAATACATTACGATTCTCAGAGATGACATGTTGGGGCCCATATCTTCGCTCGCCTTCGGAATCTAATCCATCTTCACAGTGCTGACCTCGCGGATATTAAAGCGATCATTACGGGCAGGTTGCAGTGAAACGTACTCGCTAAAAACAAGGGTCTGGCCGCCATGGAACTCTCCACCCACGAACTCGAAGTGGTTGGAGTCCTGGTAGATCCGCTGGGTGTCCGAGTTTCCGATACCTAACATGTTCGTCTGGCGGCCCTGGAAGACTTGTGCTTGCGTGTTTGGATTCGTGTTCGATGGATACTTTGGTTGTGGGTAACTAGGTTCCCCTTCGTTTCGCATCTCTGCGTGCCCCGGCTTATTTGCGTGCTTCGGCGTATCTGGGTCCCCCGGCTCATTTGGTTGCTTCGGCGTCACCGTTGCCGTGAGCTGTACCGGTCGCCGTGCAGAGTCCGATCCGGTGGCAAGGTCCCGGAAAGTGCCCCTAGGTCTGTTTCCTGCTGCCGATGACTCCGTTGATGGCGTGAACTTTTGCGTCAATGGTGCTCTGGTCGATGGTGATGTGGGTGTTTCGTTCACCCCGACGACGGAGGCCAAGAGCAAATTCGCCCCCGACGCGTCCGTCACGGACGCACTGGTAGCCGGGGTATGTGAGTCTGCCTCCTTCTCCTTGGATGATTTTGGTCGCAAAAAAGCACGGAATCGATCTCGTTTCCTAAGCTTCGCGTTAGGCATCATATAGAAATGATCCAGAAGGTATGGTATTCGGTTGCGCTGGTAAAACTGAGATATTGAAACGCGGTTCACGTGGATGGCTCGGGAGACTGTCTCGGTGCGGATACGCAGTCAAGTGAGGAGTCGAAATGCGGGGTCGGTATTCCTGCGCACGTTTTTGCGGCTCATTCGGCTGGTTGCGTTGGCACGTAGATCCACGCTACATACATAGGAGCCATGAGCGCACGTATGGCGGCTGTGATGAACTCTGCTTCGAAAACGTCGATTGGCTCCTGAATGTCTCACTTCAGCCGCTGCATCTATGTACCTACGTGCGTGAAATTTTGCTTGTGGTCCGTGGAGAATCGGCTCCAGGTTCGTTACTACCGAAGGATTGAGAGATCCAAAAACGTGATGAATTGGGATGTGAGGTCTAGGACGATGAGATCAGGAGAAGAAGAAGAATGCAAGACGAACAGGACGAACAGTTCAACGTTTACCGACCGCATCACGTCTAATCCGGATCACATTCCCATGACACACAGGTCCCTTCCAGATTCCCGCCGGTCTCTCCTGCGAACACAAGGTTCCAGCAGGGTCTCTCCGGCCAAATACAAGGTCTCAATAGGGTCTCTTTCTTACCTCCGCGTCCCCTTACTTCTCAGTAGTTACTAACTGTAAGAGGGTATTAATGTATTGCACCGTGATGTACACGGTAATCGTAATCGTGAGAAGTGGGGCGAAGTGAATGTACGCCAGTGAACGACACGCAAGAATGATGAGGAGGATGGAAAGGTTGAGGTTCTACTCTACTATCGACGGCTCAGAGCGCAATCTCATGGCGGCATTACTGCACCTGGAATAATCTAATCCAATCCGGCTATCCTTTTCGAAATCTCACCTTCGTCAATCTTATCTTATTACGCTTCATCTTAGTGCATTTGATCTCATCTTATCCATTCAACCTGATCTTATCTAATCGCTTCTTACCGTAAGTATCACATGATTCATATCTGTCACAGCGGCGGACAGATGTGCTACTCAGACACTTGCCCGTAGCATTTTCCATAACGTCAAGAAGTCTGGCGTGGGGGGGAGTCACGAGTCCAGATCTAAAGATTGAGCGTGCATGGACGGAGGTTCTATTTTCCAATGTAATGCTCTCCATATAAGGCTCAGAATTGTGCAAGAACTCGAAAACGTCCCGGTCACCCAGATATGCGTAACTAGACCATCTTCCACATAGGAAACGCGGCGAAGGAATGTATCCAACGAGACTGCACCGAGGGAACGAGTCAGTCATCCATCCGAGCGTCAGGACCCGGGAGCGGCTCTTCCTTCTTCATTTTTCGTTCGTTGGGGCAGTGGCCTCTCTTCATGCAGTTGGTCCCTACCACCCGTAGAACCAGGCTGTGATCAACTATGGTTTCCGGCGAGAACTCCGGCTGTGTCGGGTCGACCATACGATATCTCTCGGATACAGCATCGGTACGCAGATTTGGTGGGATGAATAACAAAACTTATGTTTCCCAGACTACGCACCTACGCTATAGCGTGTCAGATGAGGTGAGACGGCAAATGGAAAAATGTGAAGTCTATGGACTATATTGCTGCCTCCACTACGGATACACGATCGCGTCTGTCAAAGCTCCTGTTGCCGGCTCGAGCTATGTATTCAGTCCAACGGGTCTCTCCGGGTTCATCACGGCCTCTAATCAAAGCGCACGCGGAGGGTGTACTGGTAGGGCAGTCACGTGACGTCACCGGATCGCATACCCTCCACCCTCGGAGCACAGAACACACTACCGAGCAGCGCACACCCGCACCCCTACGACCCAACCTCCGTAAAGCCGCCCCTCCCCTCCATGATCTGTTTCCTTGGCCAATCAATCCAATGCCGCCACTCCAGCCCCAATATCGCCTCGCACCTCTCGAGCTCAAACCGTGCACTTCCAGTAGCCCACCAGAACCCCTCGACCAGCGTAAACAGCACGCAGTAATGCACAAAGATGACGAGGGCGCGAGGACGGCGCTCGAGCAGCAGCTGAACGAACCGATCCGTCGCCGCGATCGGCCACCTAAATATCGCGCTGACGATCGAGTCCCACTTGCTGATCGTGGCGAAGGACTTGCGCAGCTCCGCGATGGCGGAGAAGTACGCGGTGGAGACGTCGGTGGCGGCGAGCTCGTCCGCGCCGGGGAGGGACAGGTCCGTGCACAGCCGGTAGAGACTCTGCAGCGAGCGCTCAGTCTCGGCGTCAAGCTTATCGGGGGTGAGCGCGTGCCCGGGATGCGCGAGGAGCGGCGAGAGCGGGCCGTGATGAACCCACGACTGCGCCTGCTCAAGAATGCTGTGCACGCCGCGCAGCAGCGGGACCCAGCCGATGGGGGTCAGGGTGTTTGCGGCGGCGTCGGCCGGGCCGATCTCGGCGATCCGCGAGGTGAGGAAGGAGTAGATCGCGACGAGGCCCGAGGTCGCGACGACGGCGTCGCAGTTGTCGCGCGAGATGTGTGCGAGACATGGTGCGATCCCGCGGACCGCGCGCTCGTGGTGCTGTGAGGCGGCTGTGAGGTAGCGGTTGCGCGCGGAGGCGCAGGTGGTGGTCGAGTGCAGGTGCATCGCCGATACCGCGAGGACTGCGTGCATCAGGAATGCGTGCTGCGTTGCGAGCGTTGGGATGTTGAGGCGCCAGAGTTGCTGCACGTCGTCGCGGTTGCTGACAGTGCTCCACGTCGCGATCGACCAGTGGTGCATCAGCGAGAGGTCGAGGACGTTGAGGTTGGGCTGGTGCTCAAGCGGGATTCCTGGGTTGAAGGAAGACAGCACGACTTGGTTCAAGGACGGCGAAAAAGGCCGTGGCGAGGGAGATGGAGATGGTGGTAGTGCGTGATCGGCAGGCGCTTTACTGGTGATATCGTGCGTACTCCCGATTCCGATACTGCTACTGGGTCCGATGGTGGAGGGAGTGGTGGTTGACAGTGAGTGTGTTCGTAATGCTTCGGTCGGGATATGGCCGGGATCGTGCACTCCCGGCGATGGTGCAGTCGGTGGAGGTAGGTTCGCGGAAACGATCGGGGCCAGCGTCGTCGGCAGGCTCGCCGACGACTGAGGCACAGTCGGTACTGGCGGTGGCAATGGTGTCGCCGGCGAAGGGGCCGATGACGACGGAATCACTTGTCCGGTGGTAGCAACCTGCGATGGCGAATGCAGCTCCTGGGAGACGGCGCGTAGCTGTTCGGTCGACAGCGAGAAGTCGCAGGCGATCGCATGTTTGACGCAGTTACCGCAGGAAGGATGGGTCTCGTCGCACTTGGGAGAATGGAGGTCAGCAAGGTAACCGATGGTATATTTCAGCACCCATTTTGTTTCGCGTTCGCGCCACGCCAGGAGGGTATCAATAGTAAGTGCATACCTTTATCCTGCGCCTCTTGCACCTCTGACAGCCAGTGCGCGACTTCTTGTGGGATCTCCGGGGGGCCATTTTCGTTCTTCGTCGTACACACACACCGGCGTATTCGTTGCTTCTCTTGTCGCAAAAGTCAAGAAAAAAGACGGGAGGAGATGGTGATTCGCGAGAGGATACCGATATTATTTCCGGGGGAGCTGAGGTGGATTGAATGTGGAGTGACAGATGTATCTACGCGTACGAACACGAATACTCAGCGCGCGACGCCCTCCCCTTTAACTAGTGTCCTTCGTATCGGATACGGCACCATCCGAAGATCCCTGAAGACCAGCCTGCATGATGATTTCTTCACCTTCGTGACGCAGCATGGAGTGTTCTGTGGAATCCGCTAATTGTACCGAAGTCACCAGCCACAAAACCACACCCAAATCTAAAGCCAACTACAAAACTCAACAAAGACCCGCTCTCACTACGACAACGGGATATAAATATCGAATACCGTCAAGGTAAGTAAGAAATTGGAGTGGCCGACAGGTTTGTTGTCAATCCGGATGATTGGTCCAGCGTGTGGCTGCTGTGGCTGCTGTGGCTGCTGTGGCTCATGTGGCTCATTTTGCTCATGTGGCTCATTTTGCTCATGTGGCTACTGTGGCTGACCTGCTTGTGGCGCACCAAGAAAGATGTCCGCAGAATTACGGATTGGCGAGAGCGAAGAGACTCCTCGTCACGGCAGCCACAGGACGCAACTAAAAGTTGAGCACGTGATCACCACCATCCCGCACACCTCACAACAACCGCCACTCCCGTGCAAATGTTGAAATCCCAAACTCCCAGACCCCGAAGTGAATCCACAACCAGCAATGCAGTTGACGGTTGGCGTACCTACTACCTACTGGGTCAGGAATCGAATTCATTTTCTTTATTTTTCGTCCGTCAACCACAATGCTACTTATCGCGATGTTGACCACGGTGGCGGTGCGGTCTCCACTATACACTCGAGAGTAAGCATGCCATACAGCTGCGCAACAGTGCACTGTTCAGCCGCAGTCGCTGGGTTGAGCCCACCGTGCGGTGTGTCGATCGGCGCACAAAGGAAAGTATTTCACACCTTCTAATCGTGTGGGTAAGAACGCTCATTTATTTTAGCTGTGTATTCTATTTGCGCCTTGTCAGTCTTGGGTCCAGAGTGGGAGGAGAGTATCCAACCACGTGACGTAAAAGTCGAGTGATATGTTACTTTACCTCTGGGCGTCACTCTATTAACGTCTGGATATGAAGAGCGGAATAGATACATTTATAAACGTCACGTTTGACTGTCTGCTTGATACTAGTGGTGACCTGAATGATAGGAATGAAACCACTACTTCCTCAAGTATACGAAACCCTTCCCACTCGCTTTCGCGTCCGCCCGCTTACTTCGGCTTAGTAATGGTGGCCGCCCGCCTTATCCAGTATCACTCGGCGGAATCGGGGAACAAGCCCTACCCAAAGCGATTCACTGAACGTTTGACGACTCGAGCCGCGCTGACGCCCACTTCACCTCCGGCGATCGACCTCACCTCTCCCAACTCCACACACCCACCCCCCACATGGCCAGAACCCCATCCCCACCATCTTCTCCGCCGCTCGGATTCTGGGACGCGCACATCGTGCCGCCCAGAAGGCACGCACTGGGAGGTTCATTCTCGCATTTTGGAACCGGTGTGTTTGTTTGCTGCTTATGTGGGCGTAACCGTCGCTGAACGGGTGCATAGTGAGCTCGAGGATGCCGCCGCCGCCGCCGCCGCCGCCGTCTCCGCCGCAACAGCGTGTACCAGCAAGACTTTCCGCCCGCTACGATCTCCAAAGAGCTGGACGGCCTAATACGGGGGAGGGGTCTGCGCCGCCGCCGCCGCAATATCCTTTACCAGCAAGACTTGCCCACCGCTACAACCCGAGAGCCCGACCGCCTGCGCCGCGATACACTCTACCAGAAAGACTTGCCCACCGCCATGAGCGCCCGAGAGCTGGATGGCCTGATGCGGGACGTCTTGATGCGGAAGAGGAAGAGGAGTATACGCTGCCGCCGCCGCTGCCGCCGCCACCGCCGAGAAGTACGTTCGGCTTCACCGCCACCCAACAGAACCAAAAGCAGGAGCGCCGGCAGAAGCCACATAAGCCAGTGAAGCCACCTCCCTCGCCGGAACCGGTGCCAAAGCTAGCTACCCCGGTGCGCGAGCAAGAGCCGAGTTCTCCGCCAAGTTCGCAGCCTTCGACATCACTAGCTTCGCCACCTCACGCTGCACAGAGTTGCAAACAGCAAGACACACCTGCGAGTGGAAAGCCACGCCGGTCGATTGCGGTACGGGGCTCCGCTCGGCACCGGGGCAAGAATGTAATGACTCAAGGTCATACGGCGGATCCCGAACTACGACCGCAGGCCTCGCAGCTTAACCCCACTCCTGCTCCTACCGCAGATCGGCGGAGAACTCCAAGCCCGCTGCTCGTAGTCATCGAGCGTCGTATCTTGAGCCGTCAACGTGGCGCTACTGCGTCTAATTCCGACGCACATCCGGCCCCGCAGTCCTCGGCGCGGAAGGCTCTCGTCCAGGCGTTCTATTCCAAGGGGTCGAAGGAATCCACTCCTTCAAGGCTCTCTGAAGGCGAAAGGCTTAGACCACCTCCAGCGGCAGGGAACAAGCGTGCTGCCACTGAGCAGTCGACGGGTGATGAGAAGGAGGACGATTGCGAGGAAACGGCAGGTCCGATGCGTAGGTCGAAGAGAGCGCACCGCTAGCGCGATTCGGAGTGGTAATGTTGAGGGCTGTGAGCACATCGGTTCTGACTCGTTGGTACGTACTGTCAAGTTGATTCCTGAAAAGTTGAGGTTATCGAATGCCCCGCGTACCTAGGCAGTGCTTCGCGTGGAGTGTATAGATAAGTACGGTGATGAACGGTCATATGTTTTCCAAGGTGATGTTGAATAATGAGGCAGTTAAAAGAAGGCAATGAATTCGGTACAAAAACAATACCGTGAGCAGCGAGAGGAGAGGCGAGGAGGAGATAGGTGAAAAGAACAGGTGAAGCGAGCATGGTGGCCTACCTCCCGCGGATAGCTGCGGCCTCTGTCTTGACTCGTTCGATCCGCCCTGGTTTAGTACGTAAGCCAACGAGAAAATCATCATGTTTGCGCCTTGGTTAATGAATTAACCTGCCATCGGGATCACGCTAAACCTTACAGCAACCACATTTCTTCTCGCGAGCCTCACAGTGCTGCACCAAGTCACTCTAGACTCTAGAGGCCGTAACATTGCGTTTCCATGCCCGGTAAACCGCCAAACATATGCAGAGAGTAGGTGCCGCCACACACAGTTACTATCAGCTCTTGGATGACCGGAGAATGTACGCGGCGAATCGTAGTACTGTCTAACCGGAGAATGCACGGGGCGGGCCGAAGCACTATATGGGCATCGGAGCCCTTCTGGACTGGATATGAAAGACTCTCTCGCTTTCTATGATACTGTAGTGTACGCACCGGATTGGGAGTCGATCTCTGAATCGCCGTTGAGAGATCTCGGGACATGTGATGTCACTCGTGTGGAGTGATGACGTGTGCCGTCCCGACCCAATTCTGCGGGGCAGAATATCCGATCCATATGAGGACCCCTAGTATGTGCTAGCAGCAACAGCTCGGACTCGCAACTGTTTTTAGTAACGATTAATACCGACTGAATGCATGTATCCAGTGTATCTCCCAGCCATCCGACATTCGCCTGCCGCCGGCCGGCTACTGCTCCCCCCATCTCCAGGCTTACAACCACCGAGCCCTTTGCTTTTTCTGTGTGATTATGAACCGGAGACTTCAACTCATCGAAGGGATTCGGTCGACACGCGCACCGAAACGGATGGCTTACCGTACCTACCTAAGGGGAGGAGCGGTGTTCACCGGAAGGCACAGCACGAGGTCGATGGGCTCACAGATTGTACTATACAGAGGAAGACGATCACAAAAGATGACGTTGATAATACTACTCCGATATATATTAGAAGCACATTTATCTTTCGGTTTCTCATTACGCGGGAGTCGCGGCGGTAGGATGAATTCGATCCATACAAAGTGGAGCATACCTGTTTGTTTTTTGATAACGCGCGTGTAGAATAGAAAGCGAAGCATCTACCCCACGCACATCGACCGCCACTATTCACCCCGAAGGTGACCTGAATCGCCGTTGAGTCGTTATTGAGGCTTGTCGCTGCTGTTGAGGCATGTGATGTCACTCGTTCATCCAGTGATGACGTGTGAAGCGCCGCCCACGAACAACTGGGCAGCGGGTAGTTATGACAGCCTGGATTTCGTGCATATCCTCCAGTACGGAGAAGTAGCAACATGTCTACGGGAAGGTTTACTTCTTACTACTGCCCACGCTATTTCGCTACGTTCAACGGGTGCTAGTAGAGGAAGGTGTTAGGCCCGCCAGATTTAGGTATATCTCGCCGCGTACTATGTATGCTAAAGGGAGCTGTAAGCAGGGCTCCCGGCAAGGTAGCAAAGGCTACTGGCCTTGTAGGAGACGTTGTAGGAGACGCTTTGGTGCACAACCATGATATGATCGCTGATCGGCGAAAGCTACTACGAACTTACATCACCCGCTCCCACCCCGTGGATACGGTCACCCCACTTCGCGACTGTCCTCCATATTAGGGCTCGGATACCTGCTGAGCCGGTGACTAGCAGCGGAATACAGTTGTGTCCGGTGGTGCCGCTGCGTCGGATGATTTGATCGGTGGGGTTAGAGTAGCTTCTTTGGCGGTGTCAATGTAGTGTACCTCTAGCGTCTACCGATATTAGATGTAATGCGTTGATCGTAGTTGGTGGGATTCGGGAGCGGATATTTGTGGGGAAGGCTCGGGATGACCCCGTAGGACCGTAGCTTGCATATCTCGGTATTAGGCTCCGTTGGGAGCTGGTGCCCAACAAACATACCGTATGCATTGGCCCCCAACGGCGCGGATACATATCATTCGCGGATTATAAGTAGATACGATGGCCGCACGGGGCAGCCGCACGGGGCAGCCCCAGGAGACGATCGCATGCATCACTGCTCTAGCGCACGGTTGTGATCCGCTCGCTGGGCGCGTCAGGAATCGACTGTGCACCGACCGCCGCAGATCAACCCAGTACCCCGTTTCGACCTTGATCACTCGGCAACCATGACAAACCCGCTGCCCATACTCCTGCACGTCGCACACTAGAAGGCTCGCTCCCGAAGAACACCAGCCCCCGCATTATCCCCGGACCTCGAGTCGTTAGGCCGGCATAAACGACACGGCTGTTGTCAGCTGGCCCAAGCGAGGTGAGTATTAAGGCGGGCGAACATCGCTTTGCCAGCCCACAGGCGTTGCTCTCGTCTGTGCGAATGGGAATACTTGCACTCCGGCCTCCAGTTCACCGTCACGACTGCGATGTTTCTACCCCAACACAACATTCGGATTCGCCAAGCAGAGCAGGAGCCTCAGCTGCCGCAGGATGACATTGTGACTGAAGCGCGTGTGGTGGTGGCGGTAGTGACATCGATGACCGTGGTGGTCTGTTCAGCGAGGGTACGATCCAGCAGGTCGGGAGTGGGGGGAAGGGCGCCGTCAGTTTATCGTATTGACTGCCTGACGACCGCGTTACAGCTGTTCGTACGCCATTTCGTGGTGAATAAATTCGGTCTTGACGACGTGATGGTGATGGTTGCAATGGCAAATATTCCCGACACCGGCATCACGTACTAAAGTCCTCAGCGCTGACTCTCGCTCTGTAGATTCTGACCTGTGGCTTCGCCACTCTCACCATAAGCATCACCTTTTACGGCGGCGGCGAACACCTTTGGAACGTTCCCGCCGAGAACCTTACTACGATCCTTAAAGTCACCCTCGTCCTCTCGCGTCTCGATAAGTATATCTTCACGCCACTGTGCTGACATGCCCCGTGGTAGCAGATCCACTACGCAGGATTCTCCTCCTATCTCTATATTGCGCTCTCGATCAAGACCAGCTTGCTCATATTCCTGATGCGCACTTTCCCCGACACGTATATCCAGCTGACGTGCAAGGGACTGATGGTATTCCTCGCGCTGTTCGCCGTCATCTCCGAGATCCCGGTGATATTCTACTGTCAGCCCGTGCGCGCGTTTTGGGATACGGCCCAGGAGGGCGCGAAGTGCTGGAGCAGAGACGTCCTGTTTGGGGTGCTCCTCTCTCAGGGAGTGATAATGTTCGTGACCGACGTCATAATTCTGCTGCTGCCGATCCGCCCGCTGTGGAGGTTGAGACTGCCACTACGCGAGCGCATACCGCTGGTGGGACTGTTCGCGCTCGGTACTTACCTACCCCATCCTGAGTCCTCATAGCTCTAGAGCTGCCGACTGACACCCCCGATTGCTACTAGGCGGCTTTGCGTGCGCCGCTTCTATCGTCCGCTTCGGAACGCTGACTTACACTATCGACGAGGTTGACTTCACGCACTCGCTCGTCTACTGCGCGATCTGGATGAACCTCGAATTCGGGTTTGGGCTGATGGCAGGGTCTCTACCGTCGCTGAGGGTTTTGCCGGGGATAAGAGTGTTTCTCGGGTATCTCTGGCGAAATCCGGGGAGCAATGGCGAGACCGGGTCGGTGGTGGAGGTTCCGTCTGGGGGGAGGACGGAAAGAAGGAAGCATAAAGGGTTTGCTACGCTCGAGTT